GGCCAACACCTTTTATTTTCATCCATTCTCCTGCCCACACCTCCCCCCACATCCTTCTCTTCCCTGCCCACCTCCATTCTGAGCTACTTCCCCAAGATTTCATGCTTCGACCTCCACATTGTGCTCTACGCCCACCTGCCCCAGGTCTCTACCTTAACAGGTCCCAACCCTACCTGGCCGAAGCCGGAGCACAATCCTCTGGGGACTGACTTGGGTAACCTGGGAGCTGTCTCCAGAGCCCTTGTCGCTGAGGGGCCTGGCCTCTAGTACCCGGGCCTCGCTGACCGGGAACTCGATGGACTCCGGGGCACAGTTATCCTTCAGCAGATTCTCCTTCAGGTCACAGCGGGGCGAGCCCAGAGGCAGGGCCTGTAAGACAAGAGCCCAAGGGGAAGCTATGGTGGCTCTCTGCCTCCCACAGGCCCTGCCACTTCCCAGTGGCTTGGAGTTTATCCAGCACTTGGCAGCTAAACAAGCATAAATAAATTGGTATGGTCCTTCCTAGGCCAATCCCTAGGACTGTTGTACAGAAAGGGGAAGGTGAGGTATCAGAAAGGCCTGTTCATGGTGGGTCCGTGCAGTAAGATGCCTGTTAGACCAGAGTTTTTCAAACTGTGAAATGCAACACATTTGTGGGTGCCAAAATCAATTTAATGAGTCTCAACCATCATTTTAGTAAATAGAATAGAATAGAATAGAGTAGAAAAGATAAGCACATAAGTAGAAAAATTAAGTGTTGTTTTATGCAACTTTTATATATTGGGGACTGGGATCTAACATCTGTACTAAATAATGATATACCATACAATGGGATTCTGTAGGTGAGGGTCAAAACGGTTTGGGAGCTGCAGTGTTAGAGCCTGGCTCTGAGATCCATGCAGGCAGGGATGGTGTGTGTCTTGTTCCCTCCCTATTCCCATCACCCAGCCCAGGACTTGCCATGAAGGTGATGGGGGAAGGCAGTGTAGGAGGCAGTAGAGACAAAGGGCCAAGAGCACAGGGGTAGACTGGCCAAGACTAAATCTCAGCACTGCCACTTACAACTGCTTCCTAGGGCGAGTCATCCAAGTTCTCCAAGCCTACTTTCCTCAGCTGTAACATGAAAATAATAATAGTCCCTCCCTGGGTACTTAGAGTAGTCAAAATCAAAGAGACAGTGGTAGGATGGTGGTTGCCAGGGTCTGGGGAGAGGGAGGAATGGGAAATTATTGTTTAATGGGTATAGAGCTTTAGTTTTACAAGATGAAAAGAGTTATGGAGATAGATAGTGGTGATGGTTTCACAATATTATGAATGTATTCAATAACACTGAACTCTACAGTTAAAAATGGTTAGTGGCTCACGCCTGTAATGGTAGCACTTTGGGAGGCTGAAGCAGGAGGATCGCTTGAGGCCAGGAGATCGAGACCAGCCTGAGCAACATAGTGAGACCCTCGTCTCTACAAAAAAAAATTTAAAAATTAGCCAGGCATAGTGGCATGCACCTGCAGTCCCAGCTACTCGAAGGCTAAGACAGGAGAATTGCCTGAGCCCAGGAGTTGGAGGTTGCAGTGAGCTATGATGATATCACTACACTCTAGCCCAGGCAACAAAGCAAGACCCTGTCTCACAAAACAAAACAAAAAAGCATGCTAAAATTCTCTGTTATATGTATTTTACCACAATAAAAATTACTAAAAAAATGATAACAATGGCATCCCTCCCTCATTGGATGTCGCACAAGGCTAAAGAAGACAATGCCCATGAAATGCATAGCACAGTGCCTGGCGTGGAGCAAGCGCTCCATAAGTGTTAGCGATTCTTATGAGATGCTTGAGAAATACTTCCTGGACAAATTTATTATGAGTAAACTCCACAGCTTGGGAAACACCATGATGCCAGGCACCTGACCGGAGCCAATCCTATCACTTCAGCTTCCTCCTTCACCACAAAGAACAAATTGCGCATCCCTCCAAACACCCTAGCGTGTGTCCCCCAGGCCTCTGGGGCTCTGTGTGCTTACGCCTGAGTATTGAACAGGGGGCGTACTATACTGGAAAGAACACTGGAAATCAGGAAAATCCTAGGTCTGCCGCTAACGAGGCATGTGACGTCAAATAAGTCACTTTGAGCCTCGGTTCCCTCACCTGTTCGATAAGGTGGTTAGAAGACATGGTGTTTTCAGTCCCTTCCTGCTGTGACACTCAGCAAATTTAGCCAGCACTGCGTGGGCATATGAACATGAAGGCTCCCTGCCAGGTTGAGGGGGCTGGCCAGAAAGCTGCAAAACCCCTTCCTCGGCCCATTCACAACGTCTAGGCCTTCAGGCTGTCCCCCGACACCCACCCCTACCCGTTTCCCTCACAACCTCACAACGTCCAAAAGTCAGTTGGATACTCATGCCAATATCCCAGAACAACTAGTGTTAACATTTATTGGGCACTTACTGTATGCCAGGCACTGTGAGGAGCACTTTACAGGGATTACCGCAATCCTCCTGACAGTTCCATAATGCCGAAACTATCGCTATTTCCCACGTGAGGAACCTGAGGCTTGGCGCCTTCACCAAGGAGCAACCCAATCTTACAGGTAAGGACCCCTAGGCGTGAAGAAGTTACGGAACTTGCCCAAATTGCAGAGCTAGGAAACAACAGCATTGAGTGTCAACTAGATTGTCTGACTAATTATCCTCATAAAATAAGTGTTATTACATTCTGCTGAGCGAGAGCCAAGACTAAGAGCAGGAGTGTGGAAGGGGATGGTCCCAGGAAGAGCCAACACGGACAGTGCCCCAGGTAGCGAGCAGAACGCAAGGTAGGGACGTGAGAGGTGTGGAGATGGATGGACAACGTCCTACCTCCCCAGACCCCTCATGTGAGCCGGTGGCCATAATACCAGGAGAGGGACTGGGCCACAGGGAGCCATTCATACCCAAAACCTCTCTAGCCCAAACCCTTACCAAGGCTCGAAGTCTGTCTCCTTCCTCAGCCCAGTCCCGCTCTGATAGGCGGAAGGGCTTCCCCACGTGGATGGGAACAGGAGCAACACCACTGGCATGGGGACCTCCCCGGCCCAGGCAGAAAACGAGAAGAGCTTCTGGAAGCAAGCAGCTTCCTTCCTCCTGTCTCGGCCTCACAGGTATGCAGGCAGAGAAATGGCCTCAGCAATGGGAACCAGTGAGTAAGGCTTAACCTTCCTGGTGGCAAACACTCCAACAGGGACATCACAGACCCTCCACCACTTTGAGGAAGATGAACATCTCCTCCCTGGCACCCAGCTCTGGCGAGGACAGAATGGCCACGGGGAAAACTCGTGGGCACTTCAGGTTTCGTGCCCAGACTCCTCTTGTTGTCCCTGCCCACCTCTCCCACTCTTTGTCCCTCAGAAAGCAGCCTCTTTCTTGCTCAAAAAACCCCCAACCCCCATCGCTGATTGCAGCTGCCCACAAAGCCCCAGGGAGAAAACCTTCCAAACAAGGCAATGATTGGATAGACCAAGACGCAGAGAGGAGCTGATCCTTCCCAGGGCAGAGACAGATGCTCAGAGCCAGGGGAGACCGGGCGGCTGAATGAAAACAGCAAGGCCATGGTGGTCTTCTGGCTGCATCAGCAAAGGGAGGGTGTATTTTAGAGGGGGGTTTCCTGACTCCCAGCTTCTCCCACGGCAGTCCTAATCAGGAGAGGATTTGAAGTTCTAAGACTTGCTGACAGGCCTTATGGTTTGTTATGAGTTTCCTTAGAAAAATTAAACATTGAAAAACAAAAACTGCCTCCCTCCCTCCTTTTGTGGTCAGCGACATCAGAGGTCAGGAACTTAACAGGCTTGCTCATCAGCTGAGCGCCGCCTGTCCCAGGGGGCACCAAGGCAGTGACCTCAACTCACTTGGGCAACACTCCCCTTCTTATTAATAATAACCCAGGCTGAAAAGGTAGAAGGAAGGTTTCCAGGTTACTCAGAGAGAAAGGTGGGGGCAGGGGTGGCTATTAAAGGTCCAGTCCCCAGTGAAACCGGATGTTACATAAAAAAGGTAAAAATAGCCAAGACCGG